TTATACTTCGTGAAGTTTACAAGACGTATGGAGGTCGGTAAGTACAAGTTTAAGTATAGTGGGGGATAAAATAAATCCAAACGATTAGGTTAAAGTTCAAAAAGGGTCAAAGATCATCGCATGCCACACTAGACGAATTTCATATTGTGAAGTTATCTCCCGTTGTCGATGTTACATTCAGTTACTGCCAATACTGGTGCGGATCCAGAATTTTTTTTCGGGAGTAGGGAGGGGGGTTCACATCTCAGTCAAAAAATTCCAGCCCAGAATTTCCTGACAAGCAGGAGAAAAAAAACTGAAAACAAATAAACAAAATAATGCAATGATAGTGGGGTCAATGTTTTCTAAGTTAGGAGGGGGATGTCCAAAGTCATTTTTTATTTGCTTCAGTATATAGTCTTGTTTAAATAACACAGCAAATTCCAGGGGGGGGGGGGTTCCAATCTCCCTACTCACTCCCTGTCCCTGAAATAACAATCTATTTTGTGATTCCAATTAAATAGTTCATTTTTTTCCATTTGACTAATTATACATATTTTGTTTCTTGTGTTTATATTATGTCTGTCTATTTGTCTGCAGAAATTATAACCTTGCCTTTAAGTTTTAAGTGGGATGGGCTATACAAATGGCTTCCACATTTTATTGGTTTATTTCTTTTATTTGGGTACCTTTTTTTTTATTTCTGATCACTTGACCTAGGATACACATTTTTACAAGAAATTTAAATTACCAAACTTTAAACTTGGCCTAAATTTTGATCAGTAGGTGCTAGGGCTTTCATGCTTAACATGTGTATTCATTGTGAACTGTCAACAGATATAAATATGTTTCACCTTGACCCTAGATTTTGAACCACTTAAAAAAATTAACCTTGGCAATTAACTTCTGAACAGGAAGTACTAGGGATAATTACTTATTTCAAATGTGCATTCCTTGTGACAAGACTTTCTTCTGATACCAACAATTTGAACCCTTTGACCTTGACCTTTGAGTTTGACATATATTTGAGAAACTTCAACCTTTGCCATGGGCTTCCATACAGGGACATCAGTGTTTCACAAACACATCTTGTCTTCATTATTATTTGGTGGTGTCTCCATATGAGGGAAGAATTCCCAGAGAGAGATATGTATTCACAACAAACAAACAAATTACTAAAGAAAATATAAAACATGAATATGTTGAACATGCATATCTCTGCATGAAAAACAGCTTTTCAAACACTGCAACCATATTGTAACCCTTTCAAAACACTCATTCGAGCTTTTCTGGTTTCCTTATCATATAATGTCTGTCGTGACGTGTTGTCAATCTGTTTGTCTGAAAACTTTTTACATTTTTAACTTCTCTAAAACCACTGGGCCAATTTTACCCAATTCATATAGAAATATGTACAGGGTTATGTCAGACTGTCCATCTGTCTCAATAAATTTAACCTTTACAGGTCATCATGGTCATATCTACTAAATGAGAAGAGACAAGGCATTCATATTAAACTTATGTACTAGTATTTACCTGTGAGAATGGCATGGTTTTTTTTTTTACATATGACCTAGAATTTTGACCTACTTGCAAAAAAATTAAATTGTTATAAATTCATCATTTTGAAAGAGAAAAGTTAGGGCATTCATATTATAATGCATGTATATATTTACCTGTGGTAAGACCTTTCCAAATGAATCATGACTTTTACTCTGTGACCTTGACCTTGAAGCCTAACCTACTTTTCAAAAATGTTGCATTTGCTTATAACTTTTGATTGAGATAAGATATGACTCTCACATTTGACAGGTACATTAATTACTCATAAGAATTCAAGGTGTTTCCCAGCATGCGGTGCTTTTTTACCCCTTGACGTTGATGTTTTACATAATTTTCAAAATATTTACCGGTAACTCTCCTAAGAGATGATTAGGCTTCTGAGTAACATTAAGGAGGACTTCAGGAAAGACAGGACTTTTTGCACAAAAAACGTCATTTTTCCACCCCCATTTGACCCCCTGGGAAAAATCAAAATTATGAAATCTACATGACACCACCAACCATCTCCCAAAAGATGATTAGGCTACTGTGTAAAATGTAGGAGAAATTCAGGGAAGATGGGGCTTTTTGCATAAAAAACGTCATTTTTTGACCCCCATTTGACCCCCTGGGGCAAAATCAAAATTCCGAAACCTTACTGCACATCTACATGACACCACCAATCATCCCCCAAAAGGTGATTAGGCTCCTGAGTAAAATGTAGTTGGAGTTCAGGGAAGACGGGACTTTTTGCCTAAAAAACGTCATTTTTCGACCCCCATTTGACCCCCCGGGGCAAAATCAAAATTCCAAAACCTTACTGCACATCTACATGACACCACCAATCATCCCCAAAAAGGTGATTAGGCTGCTGAGTAAAATGTAGAAAGAGTTCAGGGAAGACAGGACTTTTTGCCTAAAAAACGTCATTTTTCGACCCCCATTTGACCCCCCGGGGCAAAATCAAAATTCCAGAACC